TAGTAACCCCTTCTCCTGTATATATTACTAAATGTAAAAGGAGAAGCTTTCGTTTTTCCTTTTGGGCCACCCCACCTCAGTGGGATATGGCCGGTGTGTTGAAAGAAGAAAGAATTTAACCCTTTTGCAACAACAGCTTCCTTGATTTCCTTTTTCTTGGCCACGATGGAAGCAATGGCTGCATGGGGTTTCACATACAGCCTGGCAAGTTATGCCATACGCATTCCACTTTCATATTTTTCAACGATGTCTATCGTGTATCTCACCTTCTTTACCAAAGTCCTGGCTCACGAAATCGTAATGACACGATTGCAAACAAACCATACCACAGGCGGGTTTGAACTCGCGGTCAGAGAGTCTCAAAACTCCAGACCATCGCGTTAGCCACTAGACCAGCTAGCCACAATAAGATTCGTCCAACTAGGTATATTTCTACAACATAGGAAGGTTACCATAGGCACCACTGTGACCACAAATGCAAGTTTTTACAGATGAATCTCCAGCTAGTGTGGCCGTGACGAACTCTAGCTCAAGTCCCCTCAATGTCGTCAACATGACTCACGAAATCGTAATGACACGATTGCATTTGTGGTCACAGTGGTGCCTATGCTAACCTTCCTATGGTGTAGAAATATACCTAGTTGGACGAATCTTATTGTGGCTAGCTGGTCCAGTGGCTAACGCGACGGTCTGGAGTTTTGAGACTCTCTGACCTCGGGTTCAATCCCGCCCGTGGTATGGCAAAGTCCTGGCACTAGGAGCTTTCTTTGCAGCCATGGTGGCTTATTTAGCAGTTGAAAGCACTAAAATGAATGGAATATTATGAAATGTATCGTATGAATGCATGAGATTGTCCTCACTCGCTGATAAACAATGGCACACTGGCTGAGAATGGAGTATGGGGCCACTCGGGGCTGTGTACATGTATCTGGGATGAACGACTATTTGCGAGTCAAACGATGATTCGCGAGTCAATGTTTTGATAAAAAAAGTCACGATTTCTGAAAACTACAACTTCCGATGCTACGAAAAACAAGGGTCCAATGTACAAACATAAACACACACATCACTAAGCTAAGGGCAAAGGAAGCAACAACAGAAAACACACATCTAACTGGAGATGACATTACACTGCAATAGAGTCACAAGTGTCAGCAGAAATGGTGTATTTCTAGCAAGAATGAAGACAAAGATACAGTGGTCCCTCGTGGCTAACACGACGGTCTGGAGTTTTGAGACACTCTGACCGCGGGTTCAATCCCGCCCGTGGTATGGCAAAGTCCTGGCACTAGGAGCTTTCTTTGGAGCCATGGTGGCTTATTTAGCAGTTGAAAGCACTAAAATGAATGGAATATTATGAAATGTATCGTATGAACGCATGAGATTGTCCTCACTCGCTGATAAACAATGGCACACTGGCTGAGAATGGAGTATGGGGCCACTCGGGGCTGTGTATATGCATCTGGGATGAACGACTATTTGCGAGTCAAACGATGATTCGCGAGTCAATGTTTTGATAAAAAAAGTCACGATTTCTGAAAACTACGACTTCCGATGCTTACGAAAAACAAGGGTCCAATGTACAAACATAAACACACACATCACTAAGCTAAGGGCAAAGGAAGCAACAAAAGAAAACACACATCTAACTGGAGATGACATTACACTGCAATAGAGTCTTTGTCACTGTACATGTTGCCAATATGGCTTGCAACAACCTTGTTAGGGTTATGTTTTTCCATAAAGCTTTCCATCTTACCCCACATAGTAAAAATCTCTTTAATTTCTGAAGAAGGCACCTTCTTCCATCTCTCTTCCTCCTCCTCTGCAGCAAGATTCTGAGCTGCGATGTGTTGCTCTTCCTGCTGAAGCTCTTGCAGCTCCTCAGTGGTGAGCTCTTCATTGTGGTCTTCCACCATTCCCCTCCAAACTCACATCCAACCCCATGGAACTCCCCAGTGCCACAATTGATTTTACAACAGACCTAGGCTCATTAGGGTCAGTCCCAAATCCTTCAAAATCCCTCTTGTAAACACAATCTGGCCACAATTTTCTCCAGGCAGAGTTCAAAGTCCTGGTAGTCACTCCCTCCCAAGCCATACCTATAAGGGTTATGCTGTGGAGGATGCTGAAGTGTTCTCTCCAAAATTCCCTTAGGGTCAAGTGAGTGTCTGTGGTCACAGTCAAGCACCTGTGAAACATTGCTTTTGTGTAGAATTTTTTAAAGTTTGCAATAACCTGCTGGTCCATGGGTTGGAGGAGAGGAGTGGTATTTGGGGGCAAGAACTTTACTGTGATGAACCCAAACTCCTCGAAAATTAGGTCATCCAAGTTTGGAGGATGAGCAGGTGCATTGTCCATTACTAGCAGGCACTTGAGATCCAATTTCTTTTCCAGGAGATACTCCTTCACACTAGGGCCAAACACTTCATTGAACCACTCGACGAAAATTTCCCTCGTGACCCATGCCTTACTATTAGATTTCCAAAACACACAATTTACTCTTCATAACATTATTTTTCCTGAACACTCTGGGATTTTCAGAATGGTACACTAGTAATGGCTTCACTTTGAAATCCCCACTAGCATTAGCACAGAACATTAGTGTCAGCCTGTCTTTCATAGGCTTGTGTCCTGGCATTGCCTTTTCCTCTTGTGTAATGAAGGTCCTCTTTGGCATTTTCTTCCAAAAGAGGCCTGTTTCGTCACAAGTGAACACTTGTTCAGGTTTCAGTCCTTCAGCCTCTATGTACTCCTGGAACTCATGCACATATTTTTCAGCCTCCTTGTGGTCCGAACTGGCAGCCTCACCATGCCTTACCACTAGTATGCCAGTACGGTTCTTAAATCTCTCAAACCAGCCTTTGCTGGCCTTAAATTCACTCACTTCACCACTATTTGCAGGCAATTTCTTTACCAAATCTTCATGCAACTGCCTAGCCTTTTCACAAATAATCAAAGTCATAAGAGTATCTCCTGCTAATTGTTTCTCATTTATCCACACCAATAATAACTTCTCAACCTCTTCTAGTACTGGTGATCTCATTTTTGTCAGCATAGTTACTCCCTTCGCAACAACAGCATCCTTTATTTCCTTTTTCTTGGCCACTATGGAACATAAGGTTGTGTAGGGCTTCTTATACATCCTGGACAGTTCGGCCACACTTGTACCACTTTCATATTGTTCAATGATGGTTTTCTTAAATTCAATCGTATTTCTCACCTTCTTTACCACAGGCTTAGCACTAGGAGTTTTCTTTGGAGCCGTGGTAGCTTATTTAGTACTTGCAAGCACTAAAATAAATGGAATATTATGAAATATTTCGCTGGAGCACATGAGGGGACCTTCGCTCACTGGTAAACAATGCCAGACTGGCTGCCGCCCCGGCTCACGCTGTGGGTACGCGTCCCGGACGAACTACAACTCGCGAGTCAACCTATGAAAAGCAAGTCCATGTTTATATGAAAATACCCCTATGATTGGCGAATTTTACGACTGCCAGGAACTACGAAAAGCGGGGGACCACTGTATAGAACAAGCATTTATTTGAAGACAAAGACATAGAACATGCTTTTATTGTGACAAAGTTACAGTATGTTCTATGTAGTTTAACCTTTTAAGGGTTTCTGCCGTACTAGTACAGCTTACGACCCAGGGTTTTTGACGTACTAGTACGCCTAAATTCTAGCACCCTCAAATCTAGTGGGAGAAAGCTGGTAGGCCTACATATGAAAGAATGGGTCTATGTGGTCAGTGTGCATAGTATAAAAAAAAGTCCTGCAGCACACAGTGCATAATGAGAAAAAAAAACTTTGACCATTTTTTTGGAATAAAACAGCGACTTTGCACTGTATTTTCGTATGGTATTTATTGTTGTATTCTAGTTTTCTTGGTCTCATTTAATAGAAAGGAAGACATATTACAGAAATTGAGATGATTTTGACTGGTTTTACAATGAAAAGTACCTTGAAATTGAGCTCAAAGTAGCAGAAATGTTCGATTTTTACCAAAGTTCAAAAGTAAACAAATCATGCCAAGCATCCAATACACGTCAACTGGCGAGTCTAATATTCTTTCACAGGTGTGCCAATATTATTTATACCATTTTTTACACTAACGCAGTAGTCTGCATAACAGTAAATCTTCTATTTTTTGAGAATAAAAAATTCAAAGTGGAAAGCAAAAGAATGTAAGAGGGGCCTTGAGATGTGACTAATGAACAGAGGAAATGTCATTTTAGTGCCAGGAGTGTCTTTCTTGTTTATTCTGGACCCTATTCAGAAATTGGCATCTTTTGAATTTGTGTGATATTGGCAAAATTGCTAAATTCTGACCACTGTACTGGATAGTTGAAATTAGTAAATGGGTGGTTTCTTGCACTCATTCGATAGAAAAATGGAGTTCTAGTGAAATATTCATGTTTTTGTCGACTAGTGCAGTGCAACTGGCCGAAGATGGGGCTCAAAGTGGGCAAAATCGCCGATGCATAAACATCGCCGAGACCGCTAACTTCGCGAGAGCATAATTCCGTAAGTTTTCCATTAAATTTCATACTTTTGGTGTCGTTATTATCGGGAAAAGATTCTCCATCTTTTCATAAGATTTTTTTTTTTTTTTTTTAAATTTGGCTGACCCTGAGAACGAGTCTCGGAGAGGGCCTGTCGACCCTCAAAGGGTCAATAAAGTAAGACTTGATAAGTATCTCCCCAAGAAAAACATTGTCCCTATCAAAGTTTGTTTTAAAACTTGTCTTTGCCTTCATGTCAAAAGCGTCAGTGACTCTCACATCATATATGGCATCACTGTTGCTGCCTCTAACAAGAAACAGTAGCCATACCTATAGTGCCTATAAGAAATATTTTCTTGTAAAATTCTATAATCAACACGAACATTTTTCTTCACTACAAAGAATGTATCCTTATTAACTTAAAAAAACATTCAATAAAAACTGTTCTCAAATCACTAAGCTATTTGTAAACATATGAGTATAAAAGGATACATTTGTTCTTGGAGTTTGTAAATAGGTTTCATCGATTTGCTCAGTTCTTCTGTTTTGGCCATCAGCTGATACATGGACTGGAACAAGGAAGTGCATACTTTATAGGTATTTAGTGATGGTAAAGTGCTACGTTCATAGTGAATACTAAATCATCAATCAATATGAAATATTTTAGAGATAAATGAGAGTAGTTGGAGCATTGCCATGAGCTGAAAAATGGTTAAAAAAAGACAAGTATAGCAAAAGCAGAACTTATATTATGACATTTTGCCTACAAGAGGCTTTAATAAGCAAAAACAGAAAATATAACATACTACACATAATACAATTTTTTTTTAACACGTCGGCCATTTCCTACCGAGGCAGGGTAACCCAAAAAGAAAGAAAAGCCAAAAAAGAAAGAAAAAACTTTTATCATCATTCAACACTTTCACCATCACTCATACATAATCAGTCTTTACAGAGGTGCTCAGATATGACAGTTTAGATGTCCCTCCAAACTGCCAATATCCCAAACCCCTCCTTTAAAGTGCAGGTATTGTACTTCCCATTTCCAGGACTCAAGTCCGGCTAACCAGTTTCCCTGAACCCCTTCACAAAATATTACCCTGCTCACACTCCAACAGCTCATCAGGCCCCAAAAACCATTTACTCCTATCTAACGCTCATGCATGCTTGCTGGAAGTCCAAGCCCCTCGCCCACAAAACCTCCTTTACCCCCTCCCTCCAACCTTTTCGAGGAGGATCCCTACCCCACCTTCCTTCCCCTACAGATTTACACATTCTCCAAATCATTCTTTGTTCCATTCTCTCTAAATGACCAAACCACCTCAACAACCCCTCTTCAGCCCTCTAATACTTTTAGTAACTCCACACCTCCTCCTAATTTCCACACTACAAATTCTCTGCTTAATATTTACACCACGCATTGCCCTTAGACACGACATCTCCACTGCCTTGAGCCTCCTCCTCACTGCAGCATTTACAACCCATGCTTCACACCCATATAAGTGCTGGTACCACTATAATACAAAATATAATATAAAAAAAATAGATGAGGTGTTCTGTCAGGGGTAAATGACGAGCCAAGTCATGGAGGTCAGACAGTGTTGGGTGAGGTCTGGGCTGAGGGTTAGGTTCAGGTAATCTGCTTCCTGTGATGCTCTAAAATAATCAAACCTTTTCTCAAGTGCACTATACCATTTTCCCTTAGACAACCACCCACAACAATTGATTAACACCTACTTATTGCTAGGCAAACAAAGGCAGCATGCAAAAAGAGATCTGCCCATAGACCCAACTCACCAAAGATCGAAACGGGGCTTTTCAGTTGTCAGTTGAAGGCCCTACCACTGGAAATAATTTTTTAGATTGTTCCAAAAATTATGCTGCTCATTTTATGCTGAAATGTATGAAATGTAATGGCAAGATATGTGAAAATATTACAGCAGCTTACCTTAATATTTGCATCAACAGCATCACAGGTTTTACAAACAGCATCTCGGTATGTTTCAACACAATCCACAGTCAGAGCTGAAATCTATAAATTAGTTTTAGAATGAATAATTTTCAATATTAAGGAATATCATGCCATCATATCTTAAGTCATTTTCCGTTTGCATTTGTTATACAGCAAACTAGATACAAAACAACCAAATAAAAAAAAGGCCTCATAATTACACTATGGAGAGTCCCAGTGAGATTTTCAATAAGTGTGTCAACAGATGTAGCAATATGCCTTGCATGTGTCTCAATATCATTGATAATGGTTGGATCTATAGGTGGCACTTGAGGGGCTAGTGCTGTCCGTAACAAACTTGGGGTCGAACTTCGAGATCCAGGGAAGGACGCCAATGCTGAAACAATTATGAGAAGCCTAACTAACAAGTTAAGGCTTGGCAAACTAATAATCAAGATTTCCCCCATAAAAGAGATAAATTGAGTCATAAAGCTTTAAAGTTTAGCAGAGTGGTGTGTATTAAGGAATTTCCAAAACTGATTACTTACATCTTAAAGATTTAAAAGTGCCGAAATTAAAAGATCATATCCCACTTAGAAAAAGATTCTGTGATAATAATTTAATTTTTATTAACAAACTGTATTGGACTTCCAGCAAGCGTGCATGAGCATGTTTGATAGGAGTGAATGGAGACGAATGGTATTTGGGACCTGACGAGCTGTTGGAGTGTGGGTAGGGTAATATTTAGTGAAGGGATTCAGGGAAACCGGTTATTTTTATATACCCGGACTTGAGTCCTGGAAATGGGAAGTACAATGCCTGCACTCTAAAGGAGGGGTTTGGGATATTGGCGGTTTGGAAGGATATGTTGCGTATCTTTATACGTACATGCTTCTAGACTGTTGTATTCTGGGAACCTCTGCAAAAACAGTGATTATGTGTGAGTGAGATGAAAGTGTTGAATGATGATGAAAGTATTTTCTTTTTGGGGATTTTCTATCTTTTTGGGTCACCCTGCCTCGGTGGGAGACGGCCGACTTGTGGAGAAAAAAAAAATGTATATCCAAAACTTTCAATAACACTTCATCACTAATAAATATTCTGATTATTTAAGAAGAAGGTAGGTACCATTTTTCTTATGAACCTTTCCGTTGGCTGTCACGCCACTGAGGCCAGGGTCCGCTCGTGTAGTTCCACGACATAAGCTCAGCTCACTTGGATAAGCTGTGAGCAGTAAGTTATGACCTAGATATGAGAGAATGGTTCTGTGCAGTGAGTATGAACTATACAAAAAAAACCTGCCTCACGTGGTGCATGTTGGAAAAAACAAAACTGTGACCAAGTGTATGGATTAAAATAGTGTTTTGCGGTGTTTTATCAGATGGTTTTCACAGTTTTACAGTAGTCCCATCCCCCCGGTATCCATGAATATGTTCCAAGACCTACCTTGGATACTCAAAACCGTGGATAGTAGAAAACCCTATGTATAAGTCATTTTTCGTTTATAGACATACCTATGATACAATTTAATTGACAAATTACGCACAATAAGTGAAGAATTATCACTTTTTTACAGATGGGAAGCACTTCACGGCTTCTCTTACACTTTGAAGAATTCCCACCATCACTACTTTTTGCTTTGGTTGTTTTTTGATTTCCTCTATTCTGTGTATTACAATATACAGTACACTACCGCATGAACATTTAAAATACTAAAAATGTTATAAATAGTGTATAAGTGATGTTAAAATAATATCAAAGATGGTTGACATAAACCCACTACCATTATAGTATGTTCCTCAATTAGTGACAAATTTGTTTCCCGACGTGGTCTTAGGAACAGAATTCCATCGTTAAGTGAGGAGAGGCTGTATTTGATTTTTGTCGATATTTCTGAGGACGGGTAAGGCTCTCCTACAACATCCAGTCTGTTTTATGGATTTTTAATAGATCTGATTCAATTACTAGGATACTGTAAATCATAAATAATTTTTCCTGGTTATATATTATTATCTGAGAAATAGAGCTCATCTTCTATTTGTGTGTGAAAAGAATTCAAAACAGAAAGTAAGTGTAATATAGGAGAGGCCTGGAGGCATAACTAATGAACAGAGGAATGTCTAAATTGTTTATTATTTTTTTTTTTAATTTTGTGTGAAATTGATCACATTACTACATGGTAGTTGAAATTGTTGAATGGGTGGTTTCTTGTGCTCAATCAATAGAATGGAAGGCATGCTAGCAAAATAGCTAAAGAATTGGTCACCTGGAATGGTGAAAGTGGCCTAAAATAGGAATGAAAGTGGGTGAAATCACCAATGCGTAAAATGTACCAAGACTGCTAACTTTGCGCCAGCATAATTCCATGAGTTTTTCATCAAATTTTGTACTTTTGATGTCATTACCTTTGGAAAAAAGATTCTTTACCATTTCATAAGATTTTTTTTTTTTTTTGGGGGGGGGGGGGGGATTCTTTTTTTAGGAAATTGAATACAAATTTCAAATTGGGGGTCTGGACAGTGAAAGGTTTAAACTAAATTTGTCTTTTTTTTTTTTTCCATTTATATACGTATCTGTTTAATGATGTAGAATCTCTGAGAGATATTTCAACTACCTTCAAGTGTTAAGGCTTGTTTATTTCCATTATATTAATGTTCATTTATAAGGAACTCCTAAACCCACATAGGTCAGAACTGGAAATCTGAAGTAAGATTTCTCCCTTTGGCTGTTTTGATAGTACAGTGGACCCCCGGTTAACGATTTTAATCCGTGCAAGAGGGCTCATCGTTATGCGAAATAATCGTTATGCGAATGAATTTTCCCCATAAGAAATAATGGAAATAAAATTAATCCGTGCAAGACGCCCAAAAGTATGAAAAAAATTTTTTTTTACCACATGAAATGTTAATTTTAATACACACAAACTGAAAAAGGCATGCACAATTAAATGACACTTACTTTTATTGAAGATCTGGTGATGATTGATGGGATGGGAGGAGGGGAGAGCATTATCTTCTTACTGTTTAGAAGGGGAATCCCCTTCCATTAGGACTTGAGGTAGCAAGTCCTTTTCTGGGTTACTTCCCTTCTTCTTTTAATGCCACTAGGACCAGCTTGAGAGTCACTGGACCTCTGTCGCACAACAAATCTGTCCATAGAGCTCTGTACCTCCCGTTCCTTCAAGACTTTCCTAAAATGGGCCATAACATTGTCATTGAAATAGTCACCAGCACGGCTTGCAAACAGCTGTGTCAGGGTGATTTTCATCTATAAGGTTTGCAGTTCAACCCACTGTGCACACATTTCCTTAATCTTTGAAGTAGGCACAATGGATTCCACAACTGGCATAGGCTTCTCAGGGTTAGCCCAAACCCTTCAAAATCTTTCTTAATTTCCATACTAATTCTCACCCTTTTTACCACAGGGTTGGCACTAGAAGCTTTCTTGGGGCCCATGGTCACTTATTTTCCAGAAACAGCACCGAAAACACTGTAATAATACGAAATATTCCGAGTGTATGCTTGGATGTTACCGCGGAGGCTGGCTGGTAAACAATGGGACGGCCGGCACATGTGAGGGCACATTGGACGCGTCTCGGACGAAAATCGGTAAGCGGGTTTTTAATCGGTATGCGCGGCAAAAATTTTGCGATAAAAGTAATCGGTATGCGGAAAAATCGCTATGTGATGCCATCGTTATGCGGGGGTCCACTGTACATATACGTCTTACGAGCCAATGTGTTTGACGTATATATACTCAAAAATTCTAGTGGCTTCAAATTAAGCAGGAGAAAGCTGGTAGGCCCACATGTGAGAGAATGTGTCTGTGTGGTCAGTGTGCACAGTATAAAAAAATCCTGCAGCACGCAGTGCATAATGGGAAAAAAAAAACTCCGACCGTGTTTTTGGATTAAAATGCCGACTTTGAGGTGTATTTTCGTATAGTATTTATCGGTGTATTCTTGTTTTCTTGGTCTCATTTGATAGAATGGAAAATATATTATAAAAATGGAATGATTTTGATTGGTTTTGCTATGAAAAGGAACTTGAAATGGAGCTCAAATTGGCAGAAATGTTTGATTTTTTGCCAATGTCATTGTCCAATAAATGTCCAACTAACCATTCTAATATGCAGCCACGAATGGGTTGACATTATTTATACAATTATTACAATATCGCAGTAGTCTGCATAACAGTAAATCTTCTATTTTTTGTGTGAATAAAAATTCAAAATAGAAAGCAAGAGTATTATAACAGAGGACTGGAGACATTGATGAACAGAGAAAATGTTATTTTAGTGCCAAGAATGTCTACATTGTTCATTCTGGACCCTATTTTGAAATTGATATATTTTTTAATTTGCATGAAATTGACCAAATTGCCAATTTCTGACCACTTTATTGGGTAGTTGAACTCTGTAAATGGGCAGTTTCTTGCACTCAATCAATAGAACAAATGGAATTCTAAAGAAATAGGTATGAGTTTGGTGTACTGGAACAATGGAATTGGCCAAAAATAGGGCTCAAAGTGGGCGAAATCACCGATGTGTAAATGTCACCGAGGTTGCTAACTTTGCGAAAGCGTAATTCTGTAAGTTTTCCATAAAATTTTGTACTTTTGGTGTCATTATCATCGGGAAAAGATTATCATTTCATAGGAATTTTTTTTTTTCAAATAATTTGCGACACCAGGAGACACTTCAGGATTTGGGGTTGCGACAGTCAAAGGGTTAAAATGTTTGCAAAGAATTCCTACACATGGTGGTGCCGGTATATACAGTACAAATGTAGTAGTCATCATTGGCTTATACTGAAAATCAAGAATGTGTATAATGAATAAAAACTGCCTCAGCAGGCATATACAGACCAGAGAGGAAAAAAGAAAACTCTAAATCAATTTATCTAGACAAGACAAACATACAACTTCAAATCTCCTGGACAACTTTTAAAACTGCAAGTATCAGACAATACTACTGACACAGTACTGAAGTCAGAACATGAGAGTGAAGAGTAACTTTACAACACTCTTACACTTACTTTTAGACAGTGGACTTGAAAGTTTTATTTTATTATGTAGATCATCTGCCACAAATGATATGATGTCTCCATGACGGGTGACCATTCCAGCACCCTGCAGGGCCGACTCTGCTTGATCTGGACTGCATCTCCCTACTTGAAGAGTCCAAGGTCGCCCCTAATCACAAATAATGAAATAATTAAAAATTTAATATGCATCATTTAAGGAATTTCAATTGTATGCCAAAATCGGAAGGGGTGCCCCATTGTCCAAGAAATTTTGAAAAAAAAAAAAAAAAAAAAAAAAAAAAAAAAAAAAACTTACAGAATTAAAGATAATATTTTTGTGAAGGTAGTAAAACAAAACAAAAAATTCTGATCAGTACTTACCGAGATATAGTGGCAGGAAGTTGACCCAAAATGACCGGGTGGCGGCAACTTCAGTGACTTCCGCAAAATTGCATTTTTTTATTTTACGTTTTTTATACTTTTTCTTTTCTTTTCTAATTTTTTTTTTCTAATAACATTTGTGGCCTGTGAGACCAATATAATGTATATTGTACAAGTGTACACTCATTGTATTCAACACATAACTACACTAATTTGTTTATCATTATATTGCTTACAAAACTTGTTTACAAGTTTCATTGTAAACAAAATGCAAATATTAGTGTGTTTATTGTGTTGAATACAACAGTACCATATAGTACCATATGGTACAATGGTGCCATTGGGTGCAATGGTACCATATAGTACATATGGTACAATGGTACCATATGGTACAATGGCACATGATACAATGGTACCATATGATACAATGGTACCATAGGGTAGAATATGGTACAATGGCACCATTTGGTACAATGGCACCATATGATACAATGGTACCATATGGTGCAATGGTACCTTATGGTACCATATGGTACCATATGATGCAATGGTACCATATGGTACATTGTACCATACAGTACAGTGATACCATATGGTTCATTGTACCATATGGTACTATATGGTACTGTTGAATTCAACACAATAAACACACTAATATTTTCATCATTACAGTGGACCCCCGGTTAACGATATTTTTTTCACTCCAGAAGTATGCTCAGGTGCCAGTACTAACCGAATTTGTTCCCATAAGGAATATTGTGAAGTTGATTAGTCCATTTCAGATCCCAAACATACACGTACAAACGCACTTGCATAAATACACTTACATAATTGGTCGCATTCAGAGGTGATCGTTATGCGGGGATCCACTGTATTTTGTTTACAATAGTTGTTTACAACAAAATATGCAAAAATGTTGTACATTAGTAATGTCCTATTATATATTTACAAATGTACAGGAACTCGACATGTTCCTTGAGGTGGATGACAAAGCGCTTTGTCTCAGAAACTGCGGAGTCAGTAGCTAGCTTGTGTCTCCACTCAGTCTTGGCTGGTGTCTCATGCCACCAACACCTATTGACCATATGGTACACAGTATCATGTGTTACAGGGTACCATATGGTACATTGTACTATATGGTATAGGGTACCATGCAGTACAGGATAACATATGGTATAGATACGGATCCCTATGGAAATAAGTCACCCTGACTTTTTTGGGTTATCCCTGGATTTTATACATATGCTGCTATGTATGATAATCTATGTAATTGTATTTCTGTACACCGAATAAACTTACTCAAGCGCATGTGGCATCATAAGTAAGTTTATTTAGGTATACACAAATAAAGTTACATAGAATATCATACTTAGCAGCATATGTTTAGAGAACCTAGGATAACCCAAAAAAGTCAGACTTATTTCCATTAGGGTATCTGTACCCTGTACCATATGGTATAATGTACCATATGGTATAATGTACCATATGGTACAATGTACTATATGGTACACTGTACCATATGGTACCATTGTACCATATGGCACAATGGTACCATATGCTTCAAAACCATAGAATTCCTCTTCAGCTCCACTTCCATTAGTCTGAGAACTGTAAGTTGTGAAGAGGAGAGTCAAAATTCACCCAGAGTGTGAGTGGGGAGTGAGAGCTTCCTTGCCGCCAGGCACGATGAACAAAGCTACTTTGCTGGCATTCCCACAATGCCATGCGGGCTTCCAGATTTTTTCTATAGTGAGCACACTGACCACCCAGACCTATTCTCTCAGATGTAGGCCTACCAGCCTTCTCGCGCTAAATTTGACGCCACTAGAATTTTGGCGAAGATCTATGGTTTGGACTCTGAACGTAAAGCCGTAGATCTACGGGACGGACCCTGAAAGGGTTAAAGTTGTGCTGCACCAAGCCATTGTTTTAATTACAATTTTATTGTATGTATAATAATGACTAAAAAATATGGTAATAACTTTTAAAGAATTTAAATAATTTCCTATTCAAATTAACCCTTTGAGGGTTTCGGACGTACTAGTATGGCTTATGCGCAGGGGTTTTTGACATACTAGTACGCATAAATTCTAGCGCCGTCAAATCTCGCGGGAAAAGGCTGGTAGGTCTAGATGTGAGAGAATGGGTCTGTGTGGTCGGTGTGCACAGTAGAAAAAAACCTGGGACCCAGTGGTGCATTGTGGGAACGCCATCTTAGTGCACAATGTCCACCATGCCTCGCGGTAAGAAGTTCCTCACTCCTCGGCGTATTGGGACACTTTTGTTCCCCAGTGACAGTTCTAATACAGATGGAAGTGCCAGTGAAGATGAGTTTCAAGGTTTTGGTGAGGTTTTGACCGAAACTAATGACCATAATATCGGTAATAGTGAGGAAAACCCAGACGACCCTCAGCCTTCCACCTCTGCTGCTGGGCCATCTTGTTCACGTTCAGTTGTACCAGAATCAAAGAGGAAACTCCAATTTTCCCAAATCCCAGACTCAGATGTGAGCATTTGTGATTATAGTGATAGTGATTATGAACTACAAGCTCTTGAAAACAGTTCCAGTAGTGATAGTGAAGTGCAATATTCCCCAGTGAAGCATCAGTATATACGATGATATATGCGCTCTGTTAGTGTGCCATATGCTATTCCAAGGAGAAGGAGTACATCCCGTGGCTGTACAACAGGAACAGACAGTGAAAATGACGATGATAGTGTTGCAATTGGGATGGAAAATGTGCATGGTGGTGGTAGTGGTGGTGACGGCCGTGAGGCACCAGCAGTGGGCCATGCTGCCACCCACGCCGCTGCCTCAGCTGATCTACAACAAAGGCCACCATCCCCCACCCACCCACCACACCAGCCTCCACAACCACAACCACCTGTCATTGTCCAGTACCCACCAGCAGACCGCACCTGGGATGGGCAGGAAACTGTCAATTTTGTTCCAAATGCCCACCAGTTTGATGACAGCCAAAGTGGAATACGGCCATCTTGTACACTTGGGAACAATGCCACTGAACTGGAATGTTTTGAGTTATTCTTTGATGAACCCCTGATCGAAAGTACAGTGGACCCCCGCATAACGATCACCTCTGAATGCGACCAATTATGTAAGTATATTTATGTAAGTGCGTTTGTATGTGTATGTTTTGGGGTCTGAAATGGACTAATCTACTTCACAATATTCCTTATGGGAACAAATTCGGTTAGTACTGGCACCTGAACATACTTCTGGATTGAAAAAATATCGTTAACCGTGGGTCCACTGTATTGTCATGGAAAGCAACACATACTACAAGTACACCATGGCAAACACAATACTTTCACCAAAAGCATGTCTACACCAGTGGAAGGAGGCAACTGTGGCTGAGATGTATCTTTTCTTTGCCATAATAATACTTATGCCACATGTGTATAAGCACAAAGTGAAATAATACTGGTCAACAGACCGCCTGATTGCAACCCCAGGTTTCAGTGATATAATGCCAGTGAATCGATTTGTGCTACTGTTATGTATGCTTCACTTCTCAGACAAAACCAGGTCTGACAGAAACGACAGGTTATATAAGATTAGGCATGTGTTTGTGTATCTGAAAGAGAAACTCAGTATGTATTTTTATCCCTTCAGGAAGCTTATAATTGACGAGTCTTTGATTCTGTTCAAAGGAAGACTCTTTCAAGCAGTACATACCAACCAAGAGGAAATGCTTTGGTATAAAGTTGTTTGTGCTTTGTGATTGTTACAGTGGTCTGGTATTGGATATTATTGTGTACACTGGAAGTTATACATTGCAAAATACCAGGAAGTTATTGGGCATCTCTGATGATGTGGTTAGAACAATGATAGAACCATACCTTGGTAAGGGGCATATATTATATACTGACAACTGGTACACAAGCCCCTCACTCAGTGATTTTTTGCGAGTGAACATGACAGATGTGTGTGGCACAGTGCGTGTAAATCAGAAACATATGCCCAGGTTTGACGCTGGCACTTGTAGAGGTGAGGTGCAGGCGTTTGCTGCCAATGACATCATGGCATTTCGGTGGCATGACAAATGAAATGTGACACTGTTGTCATCAGTTCACCTTAATGAAATGGCAGACACTGGCAGGCAGCATAGAGAGAGCAATGAGCCCATTCTAAAACCTGCAGCTGTGATTGATTACACCTTCAATATGCATTCAGTGAACAAATGTGACATGCAGATTGGGTTTGCTGATTGTGTTCGCAAGAGTTATAAGTGGTACATAAAACTCTTTTTCCATCTTCTGGACATTTCCATGCTCAATGCTTATAATATGTATAAGATGAGGATCAGAAACAAACCACAATATGGCGAATTCTGTTTGTCTGTCATCAGACAAATAGTATTCAAGTACCAAGGAAGAACACCTGCAGTAGACCGCCCACCAAATTATCAACAACTACCTTCTAGTCTGAAGCATGGTGATCACTTCCTGGTAAAACTGTCTGCTACTGCTTTCAAGAAAAAGGCTCAGAAGAGGTGTTACGTCTGTGCACATACAAAAAAACACCCACAACAACGCAGAGACACTCGTTTTATGTGAGAGGAGTGTAAAACACCACTGTGCATGACACCATGTTTCAAAGAGTTCCACAGGCTGCAGAACTTCTAGAAACATTCCCTGTGACTGTATATGTGTATATAAAATATAGAAAAATAGTAATAAACAACATTTCATATCGTTCGTTTGTGTAAATATTTTTTATAAACAAAACAATGACAACAGTGTTTATGCCCTTATTGTGTAGTATTG